AATCTACTCTCTAGGTTTCTTATCTCCAAGTCAAGATTAACTCTGTAAGACACCTAGCCAAGTCAGACTCGCCCTGATCTACTCTGTGGGCCACGTCCAGACAGCACTAATAATACCTGAGACTTTATCGGTCTGAGAAGACAGCTTTACTAGCCTGTGTCTTATTTCCTCCGCTTCCCAGAACCCTTGGTAGGTCAGGATGCTACACAAGCTTCAGCCATTTGACCTTTCTTGAAGCCTCATATTCTGTAAGAGTCCCATACATTCATGTGTAATTAAGTGTACTTTCTACTATTAATCTGTCTTCTTTGTTTTACTTTTTGCAATCATATCTTAAATCTGGCCTGTCTTCATATTTTACTCTTTTTATTTGTGTGTACGATGCAGAATGTCAATTTTATCTATTTCTTCTCTTCTTCCTCTATTTTTCATACAATGCTTTCTTCCTCCTTACCCCGCCTCCAACAATTTTTTAAAAATTAAGTCAATTAATCTCCAGGATTCTTTTTAAGTATGCATATATATTGACCTATGTGTCAGTAAATGCTCATGGAGATCAGAGGACATTTTCAGGAGTCAATTCTCTCTTTCAACCACATGCACAGGTCCTGAAGACTGAACTCAGGTCATCAGGCAAGCGCCTAACTTACTACCTGAGCCATTTTACCAGCCTAATCCCAGGAATTTTTTAAACTGTAAGCAAAATTTACAGCACTTTTTGTTTTCTTGGGCCTGGGTCTTGTGGTATAGTTCAGGCTGACTTCAAATTCCCAGTCTTTCTGCCTCAGCCCCAGGAGTGCTGGAATACAGGATCACAAGGGGAAGCTAGGATCCAGTAAGATGGTCCTAGGAGAAAGCTTGAGAGTGGATGAAGTTGTAGGTTGACTAACCAGTCATGGATTAAGTCCTCCGGATTTGTGTACCTGTGTGCTATAGTTAAAAAAAAAAAAAAAAAGATTAAAACAATTTCCCTCCATCTTCTTATTTATAAACCAGATCCACTCTCTAATTGTTAAAAAGGAGCCATCCCTGTTAGGTGTGAGTTCCCTCCTTGACGTAGGTGAGATCATGAAGCTGTCATCATGACCCACACTGAGTCTCAAGATGTGAACAAAGTCTTGGCTTTGAAGCCAGCCAAAGATTCCTTTCATTTGAGTGTGTCCCTTGGAATCTTGGACTGGGCCAACATTTGTTTGTAAGAGGAGTAGCTGGGCTTCTCAGCAAATCCACCAAGAATGGGTATTAGGTAATTTTTCTCCATGCACAGTCTTTTATCTTTCTACCTGCCGATGAAGGCACCAATAAATACTTGCTGACTTTTATCATTCTGCTAGCCTTCAGATTCAGACTTGCTGGTAATTTCAGTAATTGCTGGTTTGCATTAAGAGCAGGAGATTAGAGATTAAGGTCCAGGGAAGATAAACGATTTGCTCAGAGGCATGCAGAGTAAGTAACCAGGTCACTGTCTCCCTGTCCCCTCCTTTCTGAAATATCTTATCAGAGTGAAGAGCACAGGTGTGTTGAGAGATTTTTATCCCTACTACCTGGGCCATCTGGCCTACTTTCACAGTCCTCTGCCACTTGAAGGAGTTCTAGTAGGCAGGTCTAAGTGTCCTTTATGTTTCTGAGGCTGAGGTTCCAAAGAAAATTCTGGAAGCTACATGTGGCACAGACCTGTAGTCCTAGAATCTGGGTGATAGCAAGAGGATCGGGAGTGCATAGAATTCAAGACAATCTTGGATTCCCTCTCAAAAACAAACAGAACTCCCTCCCTCAAAAAAAAAAAAAAAAAGGCAACAAAAAAGAAGATTCTGGAGTCAAACCTATCTCTCTCCTGCTGTGTCACTAATAAACAAAACTAACCTGCCAGATCTGGCTGCCTAAAGGGTTCCCTTTCAATGAAACCCACCTTCGTCAACACCCAGGAGCACTTACCATAGGACCCCTGCTGTGTATGTATAATTACAAACGGAGGCAAAGGTTTCAGTAGAGCCTGCACCTTGGGAGGGCTCGGTTTGGAAGAGGCCAGGGGTGTGGAAATGAGGGTGTTAAAGGCTTTTGCAAAGGTAATGGGTTTTACATATGTGAGCCCAATAAAGGATCTTGGAAGGGTGGCTTCCCCTCATTCATGGGCTATTTCCTAGAACCTGGCTTGGTCCCCCAAAATATGTAGGCATTCCGGGACAGATGAGAAAACCTTCACACATGCTAATATACAGCATTTTGACCTAGGCATTCTCTTCCTCCTCGGTGGAGGTGAATAAGGGGTGTCATTTCCAATTTAGAGCGAAATGGAGAAGCTTCCCCACAAACAAGCTTAAGGAAATGTTTTGGGGTTTTGTTTTGGGGGGTAAATAAAATCCCACTAAGAATGTGGTGGTGAAAGTAGCTCCACAGGAGACCCAGGTCACTCCTGGAAAGTCGCGGGGGGGGGGGGGGGGGAGACAGGAGCTATTATTTTAACCCCATCATTTCAGAAACAGACCTTTAAGAATATTTGCCTGAACAGAAGTGAGACACTGTGGGATGGGAGGGAGGGAAATAATGCCCACGGTGCGAACGAAGAATACATGCACCGTGCTCTAGATTTAATAAGATGTCGCGCGCGCTCTCAGTTAACGCCACATCGTAAGTAAGGCAAATGGGACACAAAGGACGGGCTGATGGTGGCTTTCCTTGACGCCACTGTCAGTACGAACTCAAGGTTTACAGAGCGGCGGTTTAGGCGACTGTAGTTCGTCCTGTTGGCACCGAACGCGGCGGTCCGGAATTTCGGAAAGGCGAGTTGGTAACGGTGGGGACAGCGTCAGGGGACGCTCCTCCACGCGTTTCACAATCCCTTCCGCGGTAGCGAGGATTCGCTAACTGTCTCGCGGGGGTGGCCCCACTCGGGCTCGGAGGCCGGGCGGTGCAGCTCCGCTTTCTGCTGCGTCTCCGCGAGGTGTCGCCTTCGGCCGAAGAAAGCGGTAAGGCGCCACCCTCGTAGCCCGCACTTATTTATTTTCAAACAAGGGGGGCGCCCCTTCCTTTCAGTTTGAAACTAGAAACCTCCTGCGGTCTCGTACCTACGTGGGCGCGTCCTCGGCCTCTCATTTTGCACTCCGGTCGCCTTTTTTAAGATCACACACGAACAGCCCCTCTGCCAGGCCTTGTTCCACTTTGGTCTGGAGCACGGCTTGCACGCAAAAAAAAAAAAAAAAAAAATGCAGTAGGGCAGAGGCCGGGGCAGAAATCTTTAAAAAAAAAAAAAAAAAAAAAAAAGGCAAAGTAATGCCCAGGCTTCTGGGGTGGGTGCTGCGCAGCGTCGCTCGGCGCGCAGCTGGCTCGCTGAGCGCGTCGGGTGCAAGCCCGGGGGTCCAAAAGGGCGGGAGGAGCACGCCCCGGGTTTCCCAGCTTTGCAGCCTGCAGTCTGGAAAAAAAAAAAAAAAAAAAAGGAAAGCAAATGGCTTTTGGCGCGAAAGGCTTTGGCGCCTCCCCTGATTTTTATGGAAATCAAGAGGGCGGGCTTAAGCCGCTTGCCTCCGCTTTTCTCCCTCCCCCTCGTCTGCGCCACAGCCCCCTTCTCTCCCCGCCCCCCGGGTGTGTCAGATTTTTTCAGTTAATAATATCCCCCGAGCTTCAAAGCGCAGCCAGTGACAGTCATCTGTCTGGACGCTCTGGGTGGATGCGGGGGGCTCCTGGGAACTGGGTTGGAGCTGAGCGAGCGCTAGCCAGGCGTAAGCGCGCACACACTGCAGCCGCCCGAGGACAACCCCCTCCCGCCGCCGCCCCCTCAGCCCACCCGGAGACCCTAGCACCGAGTCGCCTCCGGATCCCCGGCAGTCTGCGGGAGGTAAGAAGCGGCACTTGCAAAGCTCCGAGCGCCCGGGGAACGGCGGAGCGCTGCGGCTAGGCAAGCCCCTGGACGCGGCTTTGCACACCGCGCCCAAATATGCCAAGGGGAGGGGGGTGCGACACACCGCGTCTGCTTCCGAAACAAAACCATCTGGGGGTTTTCCCTGAAAAGCCAATTCAGCACCCGAAGGCACCCTGGCTGGAAGAGACCCGCCCTAATCCTTTTTACACAGCCCTGGCCCAGGCAGAGAAATAGCTTTAGCGAGGAGAAATTTCGCCCGGCTCCACAGGATTTGTCTGAGTGTGAGCTGACTGCGAGCCGGTGCGTCCCCACCCCAAGCTGGGGATCTCCAAAAGGTGCCGCGGGGAAGGAGGGAAAAGGGGTTAGGCGAAACTAGGGTGCTTGAGTAATAATGTAGGTCACGGCTGCTCCAGCTTTGGAGACGCGATTCTCTCCGGCGACCCTCATCGCGCCGGCGTCCCTGCACCATTCCGAGGAATGGGGTTCAGCCTCTTTTCTCTGGAAGAGGTTGGGGGCTCCAAAGGGAGGGGATTGGAAAGGGTCAAAATAAGGAACAGGCGATGGTTACCAAAATTGAGGTTCTGAGCGGAGGAGGCTTGTATACACAAGTGCCTGTTGTTGGTCTGTCTGGAGGAAGGCCCTTAATAATTAATAAAGTTTCCTGAACCCCGTTAGCGTTTGCGCTCCGGTGGTCGCATTTCTGCAAAGGGGGAAGGAAAGGTACGCCAATCCCATGCCCAGTAGCTGGGCTGGAGGGCAGGGACTTCCTTTTTGCAGCTGGTCCTGCACTGGTGCAAGTGGGGCTGTCGCTGTCGTTAGAGCTGGGCTCTGCAGCTGGAACAGCCCCCTCCGCCAGGCAGTGCCTTGCGTGAATGGAACGGCAGTTTCCAAAGTTGCAGAGCCCCAGCACCCGCTGCATCTGCAAGCCCCCTCCCACCCGAGTCTTAGACAGCTTGTACACAGAAGGAGGGAGTGGAGGGCAGGCTCAACTTCCTTTGCCTTCCAGAGCTGTGGGAAGCTTGCAGGAGAGACTGGGGGCACCCACGGCCAGTCCCCACCAACCCACCCCCTCCGGCTCACTCTCACTCGGTCTGTCTTGCTGGTTGTAGTGTTGGAGGTCGGCGCGACTCTGTGCCTCCCACGGGAAGGAAGCACTCCCTCGTATTGAAAAAGAGCGGAGAGGAGAGTCGTCCGTCGCCGCCCGGGAGGCGAACCGATGCCCAGCTGCACCGCGACCACCATGCCGGGGATGATCTGCAAGAACCCAGACCTCGAATTTGACTCGCTGCAGCCCTGCTTCTACCCGGACGAAGATGACTTCTACTTCGGCGGTCCCGACTCGACCCCACCGGGAGAGGACATCTGGAAGAAGTTTGAGCTGCTACCCACGCCCCCGTTGTCGCCCAGCCGCGCCTTCCCAGAGCACAGCCCGGAGCCCTCGAATTGGGCCACGGAGATGCTCCTGCCGGAGGCCGACCTGTGGGGCAACCCGGCCGAGGAGGATGCTTTCGGCCTGGGGGGACTGGGTGGCCTCACTCCTAACCCGGTCATCCTTCAGGACTGTATGTGGAGCGGCTTCTCTGCCCGGGAGAAGCTGGAGCGCGCGGTCAACGAGAAGCTGCAGCACGGCCACGGGCCCCCGGGCGCCGGCTCAGCCTGCCCGGCTGCTGGAGTAGGTGGCAGCAGCCCCGGGGGCCGTGCCCTTGGGTCGGCGAGTGCTGGCCGCACCGTGGCCGCCCTGCCTACCGATCTCTCCCATACGGCTGCCGAGTGCGTGGACCCTGCCGTGGTCTTCCCCTTCCCGGTGAACAAGCGTGAGTCGGCGTCGGTGCCCGCTCCCCCTGCCAGTGCCCCGGCGGCCAGCGCTGCGGTCTCTGGTGTGTCTGCTCCAGCTGCTGCCCCGGTGGCCGCTCCTGCTCGTGCCGGCGGCCGTCCAGCCATCGGTGGAGAACACAAGGCCCTCAGCACCTCCGGAGAGGACACCTTGAGCGACTCAGGTAAAGACTGGAGCCAGGGTCCTTGCGGCCTCCTTGGGAACAAGGGTGGGTGGTGCTGCGGTCCCTTTGTTATCTAGATTCGTGCCGGTGGTCCTATTCTGCTCACTTCTCCCGGGGCTGGAGATGCCAGCTACACCTTCCCTTTAATTTGCTCTGTCCTCTTCTTCGGGAATCCTTGCCCTAGACTAGCCCTCACCGTGGGAAAAGTTAGTGGCCAGCCCAGTCAAGATGAGGGGTCGGAAAGCTACCTGGGTGGAGGAAACCTGTTAGTGGGTTGGAAAGGTCCCTCTAGACCAGGTCAGGGAATGGGAAAGATTGCCCAAAGGACGAGGGCTGTGCACAACCCCACTTCCAAAAGTTACGAAAATGTCTGGCTCCCATTCCTTTTTTTTTTTTTTTTTTTTTTTTTTCTTCTGAAGGACTCTGGGTCCTCCGTGGGTGGTAGGCTGTTTGCACTTGGTGCGTGGCCAGCAGGCGGCGTTGTGCCTGACGCAAGTCAGGCCAAGGATCAGAAACACTGGGGGTGGTGGGGCCACCCCTCCCTCCAGTTCAGCAACTGGCAGCAAGTGCATTAGTGGTTGCGTACATTTTCAGGGAACCTCTTTCCGGTTTTGAGTGAGCGCTGGTCCAGTTGTGTTTCCTAGCTGGAATTTCTGACCTAATTGAGCTGAGCTGTGTTCCTTAACCCAGTGCCCTTGAAGGTTGAGGGCGGGTCCCTTCAGGCTGCCCCTCCTTAGGAGTGCACCCACCCTGGAAGGATTGATTGGTTCTATTGTATGCGTTTATTTGGGTCTTTTTCAGAAGGGAAGGGTTAAAAAAGAAATCTTTTTTTTTTTCCCTTGGCTGTGAAAGTACCTACCACACCTCACCCAAATCCTGTGTGCTCTTGTCCTTTGAGCTTTAGCTAGCCCTCCTGTTAGACCTTGAAAGCCAGTGTTTCCACGATGCCAAAGAATAAGAAGTCTAAATTTCCTCCTGGGCTGAGGAAGGATCTTTCTGAGGCTCCTGGGAGGAAACTTGGTGATAAGCCTGCACTTTGAAAGAGCTCTGTCCCTTTAATGTCTGTGCCTTGACAGCTTTCGGTTAGGAAGCAGTTCCTTCCAACAGCTGTCTTCTTGGCTGAAAACCAAAACACTGGCTTAAAGGGACCCACTGACTGGAGCAGCCTAACATTTGAGCTTTAGAAGAAACCTCACGCAATTGTTCAGCTTTCCGGTCCTTGCTAGATCAAGCTGAAGATGTGTTTTGGTTTTCATGCTTGCATTTTTTTTTTTTTTTTAAAGCCATAATTTTCTCTCCTAGCCTGGCAGCGTACAAGGAAGTCAGGGCACCCGGATGCTACTTGCTTTTTGTTGTTGCTGGAGCACTGCTCCTGTTGCGATATGTAGCTACTGTGGATTAGAGCTTTATGATTGAGATTTGATCCCCCGCCAAGATGAAAAACTGCTTGCTCTGTACAACTCAAATGTTCGCACAAGGTTGTTGTCGTAGTGAATGAAATTGTTCCTAGAGTTTAAGGATGGAAGCATCAGACCCAGCCATGTGTTTTACCAAATGAGGAGCCTGCAGTCTGAAGGGTGGCTGTGGAAGTGTGCATAAATAAATCCACGGGCAGACTGGCTGGTGATTATGCTAAAAGCTCCTATTACGGAGCATCTGTCGCCAAGTCTACATAGTGTCTGCCAAACTCAGGCGCTCTGCGGTGTTACCCCCATTGAATAGCTGAGGAAACTGAGGATGAGGGAGCTTAAGTGACCTTCTTCAGAACCCTACCAACAATGGTTCAGTTCTGGCTCAAGCTGGGCTTCCTCGAGTTTCTGCCAAATGCTCAAAGTTTTTGGTCTTACTTTTGAAAATAGAAGTTTGGGGAAGAAAAAGAAGGTGTGTGTGTGTACACATCTTGCCTGAATTGTGATCTATTTATTTATTTCAGCGAAGCAACTGGGTCCTGTCCCCAGAGTTATATGTTAATTGTATAATGTTTAACCTGAAAATATTTTTTTCCCTCAAAGATGATGAAGATGAGGAGGAGGAAGACGAGGAGGAGGAAATCGATGTGGTCACGGTGGAGAAGAGACGGTCCTCTAACAACAAGGCTGTCACCACTTTCACCATCACCGTGCGCCCCAAGACCTCCGCTCTGGGCCTGGGTCGAGCACAGCCTGGCGAGCTGATCCTCAAGCGCTGTGTCCCCATCCATCAGCAACACAACTACGCCGCACCCTCACCCTACGTGGAGAGCGAGGACGCACCACCACAGAAAAAGATCAAGAGCGAGGCCTCTCCACGCCCGCTCAAAAGTGTTGTCCCAGCGAAAGCTAAGAACTTGAGCCCCCGAAACTCAGACTCGGAGGACAGCGAGCGTCGCCGCAACCACAACATCCTGGAGCGCCAGCGCCGCAACGACCTGCGCTCCAGCTTCCTGACGCTCAGGGACCATGTGCCTGAGCTGGTGAAAAACGAGAAGGCCGCCAAGGTGGTCATCTTGAAAAAGGCCACCGAGTACGTCCACGCCCTGCAGGCCAACGAGCACCAGCTCCTGCTGGAAAAGGAGAAACTGCAGGCGAGACAGCAGCAGTTGCTAAAGAAGATAGAACACGCACGGACTTGCTAAACGTTTCTCACACGGACAGTCACTGCCACTTTGCACATTTTGATTTTTTTTTTTTTTTTTTTTAAACAAACATTGTGTTGACATTAAGAATGTTGGTTTACTTTCAAATCGGTCCCCTGTCGAGTTTGGATCTGGCTAGGGGGCAGGACACGGGGTTCTGCCATGACCTTGGAAAAAAACTGAGTTATGGGATGCTGGGTGGCTTGTTTTCCTCCTCCATATCACCTGGTGACAGCCTTGGAAGTTCGGGACAGTTGGGAGCTTCAGGAGGCTGTGAAGTCACCTTGTTCCGGTCCAAGTTTCCAAACAGTCATTCCTTCTTTTTTTACAATGGTGCTTAAGTTCCAACAGATGCCACAGAAAGGGGGCTTGGCATTTGATGCCCCTGGGAACACTTGTGTAAATACCATTGATACACCCGCCTTTTGTCTACGTCCTGGGTAATGAGAGGTGGCTCTTACGGCCAGTATTAGACTGGAAGTCCACACCTAAGTACTGCAAGAATACCTCAATGTTTGAGGAGCATGTTTTGTATACAAATATGTTGTTAATCTGTTATGTACTAATTCCTACACGGCCTGTATACTTTAGTATGACGCTGATACATAACTAAATTTGATACTTATATTTTCGTATGAAAATGAGTTGTGGAAGTTTTGAGTAGATATTACTTTATCACTTTTTGAACTAAGAAACTTTTGTAAAGAAATTTTACTATATATATATAAATATATATATATTCCTTTTTTTTTTTTTTTTTCCTAGCCTGTTTCTTCCTTGTTACTGTATTTGTTCATGTTTGGTGCATAGAACTGGGTAAAAAAATGACAAAGTTCTGTGTTTAATTTCTTCAAAATGTATATATTTAGTGCTGCACCTTAGAGCACTTTGAAATACCTCATGTTTATGAAAATAAATAGCAATTAAATGATGCAAGTCAATGTTTTTTGTTTTTTGTTTTTTTCCTAGCTAGGCTTCAACTTTCCTCTCTTTGAATAGCAATTGTAAATAGTCCATTCCTTCCTAGGTCTTTTTAACCTTGTGGAATCCTGGTTGGGGGGAGGGTACTAGTCCCTCTTGGTAGAGGGAATGAATGGGCTTGTGGCTTCTGCAGATTAGAATCAGCTATTTTAGTAAGAATTCAATAGGTGTTAAACACCTATTTCTAGTTTGTTTCTTTGTGTGTTGAGTGTGCCCACAATGTTATATCCCCTGGAACTGGAGATAAAGGTTAAGAAACACTGCAAAAATGGCAAGTGACTTTAACCCCTGAACCATCTCTGCGGACCATCTGTTTTTCAAGGCTTCAGGTTCTCCAGCACAGCCTGACTGGAGCTGAAAAGGTACTTGCAGTCCTGGTCCTCTTGCCTTCCTCTCTCAAATTCTGGGATTAAGGTTGTGTGCCAACCCTGTCAGTTACTCAGTTTACCTGTATTTTACATAAATACTAGTCCCATTGATAGGCATTTTACATTTTCCCGGGAGAAGCTGAATGTGGTAGCATGTCTGCCTACAGAGGCAAGAAGAACCATCCGGTACTCAGAACAGCAAGCTTCTACACTGAGCTCAAGACTGCAGTGACAAGAGAAAGAGAGCTAGAACCAGTGCAAGATTCTGGGCTAAGCACTGTACTGAAATAGGATGGATGTGATCTTCAATAATCTCAGCCAGATTCACCAGCCTCATGGCTGCAGATCCCAAAGGAGATCCCTGGAGATCAAGGAGGGGAAGGGAAGTTGTCTATTGCTCCACTAGGGTCACTGGGTGGTATTTGCGGGTGTTCACCAACCATGAAGACAGCTGAAACTAAAGGGGTGGAAGAGGCTCCAGTCTGAGAAGTTTCTGGAAGTCTCTGAAGGAGGTCGTGTGGACCTCACCACCTCTCACTTTGAAATTCAGACATCTATTTCTCTTTGTGGTAACAGGCTACACACAGGGTTTTCCTATGGTTTCATTCATTGCAGGTTTTTTGTTTTGTTTTGAGACAAGGTTTCTCTGTAGCCCTGGCTGTCCTGGACTCCTTTTTGTAGACCAGGCTGGCCTCAAACTCGGATCTCCCTACCTCTGCCTCCCCAAGTGCTGGGAGCACAGGTGTGCGCCACCATGCCTGGCTTCATTGAAGGCTTTTAACTTCAAGTTGGGGGTGGGTGGGAGTCTTGCTTTACAGAAAGATAAAGCCTCAAAAGCTAAACAGCTTTACTCCTGTGGCTACACTGTCAGGGGCAGGGATTCTGCTGAATAGGTCCTTGGCCAGGCAGGTGTGAGCTTAGCCATGGAGGTCCTTATTCGGGGTGACAGCTACACACAGTTTTACAGTTGCTGTGGGGTTGGTACTCTCTAGCCTCTCTGATGATTGAAAATTGGGCAAAATGCCCTTACCAGTCCTGACTAGTTGCCACTCCCAGACTAGGAAATAACCCTCCTATTCAAAAGACCTCTGCCCTGCATCTTACAGGCACCCAAGTCACAAGCTCGCCACCTCACCAGTATATCCAGGAGCCAAGTGAAAGGTAAATGGCCTCAGATTAATTGAACACCTGAGAGCCTTGAAGCCCACCTCAGTTGACCGAATTGCTCTGGGTACGCCAAAGGAGGCCCCAGAGTGTGACAGGTGAGTGAGAAATCCAGCATGTAAAAAGAAACACAACAGAGGCTATTGAGCCAAACGAAATGCCTACCATATTCTCGTTTTGCTGACTGGTGGGAAGCTCACACATAAAACACATCCTAGCCTACATCTCCAGGGCCCGCCCGCCTCCAACGCTTTGTCATCTTTATGCTCGTTTCTTTACATCATATAACAACAATAACAAGCCCTTCTGCATTCAGTGCATTATAAATATACACCAGGGCTGGGGAGATGGCTCAGTGGTTAAGAATAAATATTGCTCTTCCAGAGGACCTGAGTTCAATTCCCAGCATCCATGGGGGGAGGGAGGGTGGTGGCACATCAGGGGGTGGGGCTAAACTGCCTGTAACTACAACCCTGGGGGATCAGTAGTCACTGGACTCACTAGCTCACACTCATTGACACACATACATGATTTAAAATAAGCAAAAACACACTAAAAACTACTAACACTTCGGTTAAAACACACTTGTGTTTTCTCACCTAGCTGAGGGAGAGTGTTCCTGATTTAACTCTGCCATTATCTGTACAGTAATTGGCGTAAGAGAAAAATCGAAGCAGCTGAGTAACTCAAGACTGAGAACACTGAAACCTAGAAAGTTCACCAGGTAAGAAGGATTAAGCGGGAGCTTATGTCGGGTGTTCAATCCATTTCTTTCACAGAATGCAGGGTGGGGCATCCCCGAACCAATGCAGGACCCAGTACCCACATTGGTTCCTCACGGCCAGTCCAGTGATCTGGTCTCTGGTAACCTATAGGCTGGCGTCCATCTCAGTTTGTAGGTGAGGATGATCTGATCCTCTGGCCTCCACGTCCAGGATACTGGATAACAAATCTACCTAGTTATATGCAGTGTTGGGGATGGAGTCCAGGGCTTTGTGCATGCTAGGCTGCACCCCAAGCTCCCTTGCCAACAGAATCGCCTGGCTCCCTCCTCTCACCTAATGATATTAACTTAGCAGCTAGCCCTGGTCAGGCTTTGCAGGCACAACAAAAAGGACAAAATTGCAAACCGCACCCAACTCCTGCCTCCTTGTAGTTCGTAATCCATCGGACACTGGAGCAACAATACGAATAAACAAAACAAGCAAACAAATAGCACCAATGAGGTGGTGATTGATGTCCTAGAGACGTGGACTAGCATAGAGGAATTCAGGGATCCCAGAGGGCGTGGTGGAGGCAGGCTAGGGCAGATGCACCTCGGACCTGTGGGGGGAAATGCAAGTTGACTGATAAGTCTGCTCAGCCACCAGAGCAGGGGGCTCAGGTTCTCCATTCATAGTCTATTTTCTTTCCTCTTAGACTGCCCGTGAGTGAGTGTTTCCCCGCTAACTCCTTTGCCTGTTTTCTCAAACAAGCATCAGAATATGCTGGATATCTGCAGTCCGATTTCCTGGAAACGAATCCAACTCTCACACTCACAAGCTCTGGGTTGTCAGACAGAATCACCTGAAGTCATGCTTAAAGTCAACAACACTTAAAGTCATGCTTGCCAAATGACTTGTTAAGTAACCTGATGTGAGGAAGAAAGGTAGCTCACTCTATACTACTTGCTGCAAGCGTAAGGATGTGAGTTTAGGTCCTTGGCACCTACATAAAAAGGACGAGATGGCCTTGTCTATAACCCAAGTACTGTGGGTTGTATGTGTGGCAGACAGATGGATCCCTGGAGCTCTCTGGCCCTCTAGTTAAGTCAGTGCTGAGCTCTAGGTTCAGGGAGAGACCCTGCCTCAAAATATAAGGTAGAAATTTATGGAGCAGCAGTTCTCAGCCTTCCTAATGCTGTGACCCTTTAATATGGTTAGTCCTGACCCCCAACCATAGAATTATTTTCACACATTGTTACCTCATAACTGTAATTTTGCTACTGCTATGAATTGTAACGTAAACATATGATATTCAGGATATCTTATATCTGTAAAAGGGTTATTTGATGCCCCCCCCCAAAAAAAAAGGTCTCAATCCACAGGTTAAGAACCACTGCTATAGAGGAATGTGTGAGTGTGTGTGAGTGTGTGAACATATGTGTGGAGGTGTGTGTGTGAATGTGTGTGTACATGTGTGAATGAGTGAGATGTGTGTGTATGTGTATGAGTGTAAGTGATTTGGTATTGACAGAACTGTTCCTCTGTTTCCTCTATATGTTAGTAGGAAAAAGAACTTTTTAAAAAAAATGATCAGTAAAACAAATTTACAAGCCTGACCTCAATGAGAACTTTGCCGACTATTGTTCCCCAAAAGAGGCCTTATGAAATCTAAAAATGGGTGCCTTGGAAACAAGTGAATGTAAGCTTTGAAGCCTATTTTAAGACAGAGACAGATCTGAAGAGTCTGAGTTCCCCAGAACATCTACACCTTCTACAATGGTTTATTAGTTCTCCCCGCTTGTAAAGGAAATCTCTTCATAGGCCACTGACCAGGGCTACCTGATCTCTTTTGATACTGACGGATCATACTACAAGGCATCCATCCTGAAACCTTTGACCAGAAGTAACAGAGCCTTTTTCATGGTGGAAGCGTGGGGACTGGCTGGGACAATGCATGTTTGGGAAACACACGCACAGCCTGGTCTGCTGGGTAAAAGTGGGTGATGATTGGCAGAGGCATGCATGCCTGGCAGCAGGGTAGCATGCACTTTGCATCTAGCAAGCCCAAGGTTTTTTTCAGGACTTTAGGGTGAAAGAATTACTTTTTTAAGGATTATTTTTATTTGTGTGTGTATGTGTGAGTGTGTGTGTGCACGCGCATGCACGCATGCAGGTGTGTGTGTGTGTGTGTGTCCACAGACGCCCTCAGGTGTGTGTGTGTGTGTGTCCACAGACGCCCTCAGATGCCTGAAGAAGAAGGTAACAGATCTCTTGCAGCTGCCTCGCAGGTAGCTGTGGGCCTCTCATATCCACTGTTGGGAACTGAACTCAGATCCCCAGGAAGATCAGCAAGAGCTCTTAACTGTTGAGCCCT